AGACAGACAGACAGACAGACAGACAGACAGAAAGACAGACAGACAGACAGACAGACAGACAGACAGACAGACAGACAGACAGACAGACAGACATGAGAGGAAGTGGGAGAGGTAGTGGAAGAGTGAGATGATAACCCATTGTAATAACTAAAAACGAAATTTTTTCAAACCGATCGCCCGGAAGAGACGTGTGTTAAGTGCTTACTGCTTTGGGTACAATGTATATCTACTTCTTTGGTGGAGGGAAGAAGTTGTTGTTTTTTTGTTTGATGGTGCAATGAGACAAACGAGGCACGCTGTTTAATGTATTGCTTGTCAGTTCGATCTGCGTGTTTTGCAAAGTTACACCTTGAAAAGTAACTGATTGATCATTGCTTGCTGAGAGCAACAGGTCTGTTTGATGTTCTTTTTCTAAAGGCAAGCAAAGGTACCGGCTCATTTTGAACAGCTGACGCTAAAGTTTAGGCTAAACGCTGAGCACCTGCTCCTGTCTGAAACTGACGTTAGTTATAAGTTAGATCTAGATCTAGATTCTAGATCTAGATTCTAGATCTAGATTAGATCTAGAATCTACATATCTAGAATCTACATATCTAGACTAGATCTAGATTCTAGATTTAGTTCTAGATTCTAGATCTAATCTAGAAGTAGAATGTAGATCTAGATCTAGATCTAGATCTAGATCTAGTATTAGAAGAATTAGATCTAGATATCTAGATCTACTATTAGACTAAGTTTTAGATCTAGATAAAGATCGGTGCTCTTTGTAAATTGCCTTCCCATTTGTTTACATTCATTAGAAATAGATCTAGATCTAGAAGTGATTGCTAAGGACTAAAGTGGCCATGCAAGCTAAGTGAACAGTGAACCCACCACATTATTCGCCAGTTATATTTTTCTGCCTTTTTTGTATCGGAGTGTCTACGTGCCCGGTAACCGGGCACCTAGTCACCGTGTCTACATACACGGTAACTGGGCACGTAGCCTAGCCTCAGTGGCTACGTACATGGTAACCGGCAACTGGACACATAGTCTCAGTGTCACGTACACAGTAACTGGCAAACTGGCACGTGTCTCAGCTTCACGTACACGGTAACCGGGCATGTAGCCTCAATATCTACATACACTCTAACTGGCAACGGGGCATCATGTAGTCTCAGTGTCACGTACACAGTAACAGGGCAGTTCTGAACTTCAAGTTCAGTTTTTGTCTTCTGGTTTTGCCTTCAACCCCACCCCTCCCCCGACTGTACTTTTTAAAGATATCAATAATCCCCCCAGTCTGGAGTCCTATACTTCGCAACACACAGACTTTGAATGAACTTTGGTGAACCCAACGATCACTGATACTCACAATGTGATGCGAACGCACAGGTTCACTGACCAGTCACGATAGCGAGCCCAACAAGACGCTTGTTATTAGGCTTGTATAACTTTCTTTTTTTTCCACAAAAGTGACAGCACAGGACTAATATTGCACGGCGCACCGGCAGTGGAATTTGCCGCGGGGGGTTCCCCGCTGGGTGCCTTATCTCGTCGGGGTCACGGGGGTCAGCTCCCTGTCGCGCTCTGTCTGGGCCGACTTAATTTTTGGTACTTTTCAACGTACAATTTAAGGTGTATCCTTGTATTTATGGTAATTCTCATTTAGTGCACCCAAAGCACGCATTTCTCATGGCACACCGGCAGTGGAATTTTAGTTGCCGCGGGGGTTTCTCCGCCGGGCGCCTTATCACGTCGGGGTCACGGGTGTCAGCTTCCTGTCGCCGCTCTGTCTGGACCAACTTAATTTTTGGCACTTTCCAACGTACAATTTTAGGTGTATCCTAGTATTTATGGTAATTCTCATTAAGTGCACCCAAAGCACGCATTTCTGCTCTTGAGACTCAAAAGAGAACGGACGTTGTAACATGTCTGGTTATTTCGTAAGACGCGCTGGAGTCGGCAATGCTAAATTGTAATTTTTTTGGGACTAGCGTGAATGAAAAAAAATCAATATAAAAAAAAGGCCTAGTCAAAATCTGTTGAACTTTTGGAACATGAACGACATAGCATTGGTGCAGATACTCAGAAAAGATGGTATCTGTGCATTAGAAAGTTGTAATTTTGCAACTTTATCCATCGGGCACACAATTCGCTATGAAGTAATTCCTCCAAATACAACTTTATGTGTCTCATATAATCGTGAATATTCGCATATTTTCTCGAACTCGAAAGTTTATAAAAGTTGTCATGAAGTTTCTCTATGAAAAGTACAAATCGATTTTAGTGCTAGAATACATCTTCAATGTAGACCTAATACACGAACAG